CAATATTAGGAGAAACAAATATACACACAGAAAGACTACCCGTTCGAGGTATAACTACACTCGAAGGGGATGTGTTGAAGTCTTTACAGTGAGTAGAGGAAAACCAGCTGGGTACTTGACTTATTTCGAGTTTGTTTAAGCCTATACACTGATGATTTATATCAGTGATACCAGTTGGTGCTTAGCACAAAAACATCTGCGTAGTAGGTACATTTACATGTGGCCTGCACAGGGAACACGGCGCAATATGTCATGTTGACAGTAGTTGCTGGTTTAATTTAGAAAAATACATATATTATTAGGAAAAACAAATATGCACACAGAAAGAAAACCCGGGAAGCTCCCTGTTCGAGCGAAATTCATAGTCGTTCGAGGGGGGCTTTTTACAGCAGTAGACTATTTAGGAAAAACAAGTATACGTGCAGAAAGGCTACAGCAGTATGCAATAACCGACATACGTTAGTTTATCTATTTACTACAAAGTACTGTTTATTACAGCAGTAGTTAGTTGTTGTACCTATTTGAAAAAACAAATATACACTCATTTTGTTTCTCCTCCGAGTGGTTTTTGTACCCTATTTTTTTCTGTTTCTTCGTGGGGTCGTGTATGCCGGGTTTTGAGACCACGGGCTCCCAATCTTTTTTTTTTAGAGCTAATGTGAGAAACAACAAACAACAACAACAACAACAACACCAAAAAACACAATCCTGGGAAGAGGGAGAACGACAGAGAGGTCTGCAGGACAGCAACAGCAATACCCATGTCTGCACAGAGAGCGACGACGAGTTTGCGCTGGATCCCAGGGCCCCGCGTGCACAATAGCGGGGCCAGGTGTGAGGTTAATCACACGGGGGTTCCTTCCCGTCACAACCACACAGCATTATCATTGCTGGACAGCCAAACAGCAGCAGCAGTGTTGGTGTGAGTCGGCAGGGTCCCGAAGCAATGCATGTGGGCATCAGGCCGCAAAGGATGCCGGGGTTCCACCCCGCGGCTTCGAGCGCTAGCTACTATCACCCGGTGCTGTTTTTGCTGGTGGGGCTGCTTCTGGTGCTCCTCCTCCTGGCGCCATCCCTGTTCCTCGACACTCGTATCTTTTTGGGAGTCGCGTGCCCTTGGGTTTTCCGGGCGTGGTCAACAACCCCGCGGGCTGTTGAAAGCAAAAACGTGTGTGTGTGGGATTTTTTTTCACGCTTTTTTGGAAATTTCAATGGACCCAGAAAATCGAACATCGAACTATTCGCTCGTTCGATGTTCGATGTTCGACTTTTCCAAAAATTACGCAAGACCCACCCTAACCGTGGGTCCTACGTAATTTTTTTGGACTCGAACATCGTACCGTGGGTCCGACGTAATTTTTTTGGACTCGAACATCGAACATCGAACAAGCGGTATAATCATGTGATTGGCCAGGAAGGTCCAACAGCCCAAAGAGATGTTCGGGTTTTCGAGTTTTTGTACGCCGGATCTTCCAGGGGCGATTCCGCCTAAAACTCTAACATCTTTCCACAAAAACTCGAAAACCTATACCTAACCTACAGTCCCGTGGACTATTGGGACCGAATTGGCGACAAAAAAGAATACCCGCACGCATGCATCACGCACGTGCACCCAACACACACCACCGAAAAACACAATCTCGGGGAGAGGGAGAACGACAGAGAGGTTTGCAGGACAGCAACAGCAATACCCATGTCTGCACAGAGCGACGACGAGTTTGCGCTGGATCCCAGGGCCCCGCGTGCACAAACGGGGCCAGGTGTGAGGTTAATCACACGGGGGTTCCTTCCCGTCGCAACCATACAGCATTGCTGGACAGCCAAACAGCTGCAGCAGTGTTGGTGTGAGTCGGCAGGGTCCCGCGGCAATGCATGTGGGCATCAGGCCGCAAGGGATGCCGGGGTTCCACCCCGCGGCTTCGAGCGCTAGCTGCTATCACCCGGTGCTGTTTTTGCTGGTGGGGCTGCTTCTTGTGCTCCTCCTCCTGGCGCCGTCCCTGTTCCTCGACACTCGTATCTTTTCGAGAGTCGAGTGCCCTTGGGTTTTCCGGGCGTGGTCCAACAACGCGGGCTGTTGAACGCAAAAACGTGTGTGTGTGGGATTTTTTTTCACGCTTTTTTGCAAATTTCAATGGACCCAAAAAGTCGAACATCGAACTATCCGCTTGTTCAATGTTCGATGTTCGACTTTTCCAAAAATTACGTAGGACCCACCCTAACCTCACTAACTAGACCACCGGGGCGACCGGGATAGCACACATTGTTGTCGCACGCCCTGTGTCACGAAGAACCAGTCCGATAGTTCTCCGCCGTCCATGCGCACCCGGGTCCGCATTCCATCGTAGAATTGGCCGAAGACTTTCGATCAGCTTCGCGGGAATCCCGGCCCTGGCCACAGCACCTTCCATAGAATCCCTCGGTCCACCGAATCATACGCCTTGTTCACGTCGACGAAGCACATGTAGAGCGGTATTTTCTTTCTCCGCCCCGGCTCCTGGAGGCGGCGCACGACGAACAGCATGTCGACAGTGGATCGCCCGGGTCGAAATCCGCACTGTTCCTCCGGGAGGGTGTTGTTGGCTTCGCAGAAAGCGCTTAGACGGTTGGTGGTGATGATCTTCTTGATGGGGACCTTACCTACGTGAGATAGTAGCGAAATCTCCCTGTAGTTGTTACAATTTGACCGGTCACCCTTCTTGTACAGCACCCTGATGGTTGCATCCTTCCACTCTTGCGGAATATCTCCTCCGTTCCACACCTTGATGAGGATGGTATGTATGGAGGTGTCCCAGGACGAAGGGAGTACATACGTTCGATGGTATCGAAAATCTCTTTTTCACGGGGCACGGGAGACCGACACGACGCAGATCATTGTTCCATATTTCCGACATCCAACTTCCGACCAGCAGCTTCGTCAAGATCTCAACCATCGGACAGGGACGTTGGGCCACCAGTCAATCAATGGAGCTGATCGATGCCCTCTGATGGAGTGGCGAAGTCAGAGGTCCTTTTTTTGCGCACAGCTACTTTGAACAGCAGCCAGCGAAGGTAACCCGGAAGATATTCAGTCCTGCCACTGTACTACTGCTGTTGTTCCTACTCCATGTGTGCACCGTCAGCAGCAACAAGGTCGTGGTGGTATTACGGTGAGTGTATGTATGCATAGACTATGCATACCTATTTCCTTGCCAAGTAAAGAAAGCCCGCCCTTTTGTGGTTTGTGGGCCTCAACTATTTGGATGGAAAAAGTACCCGCGCCGTCCGCACATTTACCTACTACCTCTATAGTATGTATGTAGCAACACCAGGCAGAGAGATGACAGTTCAAGCGAGAAGCAGAACAACTGTCTTGTGTACCGCGTGCGTGTAGAAGGTCAGATGGACCCGGGCACAGGTCTTCACAATTGTCCGAGCGTTTCTACCATCGTGGATACGTCATAATAATATCAACGCGCAAGGTCGGCGGAATGGGTCGTGGACTGGTGGTGCAGATTGGCGCCAACCTTCATCCAGCGCCAGAAACAACAACTAACAGCGTACAACAAGTAGTAGGTGAGCATCACAGACAGACTTCGTACACGCGCCATCACATCACCATCTCATCACCGGCAACACAATACTACTAGACTACTATCAACAAAGAGTTGTCTTCGTGTGTGTCTTCCTAGACTAGTCTATGTAGTAAATCTTTCTGTGGTCAATAGACTGTGTACACTTATCCAAACACACAACTTCAGCTTGCTCATATTATCTTCAGGAGGAATGACTGGTTCACTTTGGCCGCGAATCGCAAATAAATATGGATGTAAATAGACTACATGACTGCATGCAGTAACTACTTCATCATCAGTCTATGCTTGCTTGTTTCTCGCGAGGGTATCACAAACACGACAACATTGCGGAGCTAGGCTAGGCACGACAGTCAGGGAACTCTTCCACATAATGCTACGCAGCATATATATCTACAATCATGCATACCTCGGCACTCTGCGCAGCTTCGTACTTCGTAATTTAGACTATGGATGACTGGCTGCCCACCGCCGAAGTGTTGAAGCACAGTAAGAAATGCTGCGCTCATCAGTGATACCCAGAGCTTTTGTCTATAGACAATAGGTAGGCTACTCCTCACAACAGGACGACGCTTCATTTACATATCGTTTGAAGCTTTTTGTAGCACACGTGCAAACATTTGAACATTTCCACGCAGTGAATGAACGCAACAACTGCTGCTGCTGTGTATGCGCGCTGTATGAACTTTGTAGGAGCTGCTGTGGGTATTTGTCATGTATGGTATTTGGATGTAGACATGTGATCGTCCTTGACCATTGTTATTTGGTACCAGATGCTATGACCTGCATCATGCAAAATTCCGGGCTTCATGTCGAGGCATGTGCCCTTCTGATCAGGTTTGTGTGTCTTTCTTATTGGATCGACCGCGCTAACCGGCTGACCCAATGAAGAGGCGTCAGCCTCAATGCCTGTGTAGTGTGTGTCTGAATTATTAGCATCCTTCCGGCGGACTGACCAGACCACCAGTGAAAAGACGTTAATCTTAGTGCGGTTGAAAGCACGAGAAACACTTTTAAATGCCATGAACTGGGACTCTGTATCTCACGACTCCGTGAACGGTGAACGGGCGTCATAGGGTAGGCTAAGCCATTCAACGGATTAAAATAGAAATGGTAGCAACCGAGGAAACTACGCGTGCGTGTCTACCAAGGCTGCTACCTGGCACTCGAGTTCGTTTTGGAGTGCTTTTGCCATAATCTTCCTTGCTGCAACATCACTCTTCTTCTCATCATTATTAGCTATTTTGCGGCAGTTCTTCTCCAGCTCTGCATAGTTTGCTGTGAGGAAGGTCATCTGGCTCAAACCCTTTGCTCGCTTCCACTCCATGCTTTCCTCCCCCATTGCTGTCTGGTCCTTTGTTCCCTTGTCCTCCAGTTACCTTTCCTCCTCCTTCGTCTCTACCAAATGACTTCCAATTATTGTCATCATCGTTGTTGTCCGCACTGAAGTCCCAACTTATTATTGGCTTTGGTGGAAGTTGGTCATCATGCAGTAACCCATGGCGTTTGAACACGTCGCGAGTTCGCACTGACAGGAAGCGAGCTACCTCGAAGGTGAACCGCCTCCAAAACCTATTCGTTTGAGAAGCCTTGAGATGCAGAAAGGCAGACTCATCGTGAAAATTTCCCTTGCAGATTTCTTCGTGCGCCAGTGGTTTATGGTAGCTACGATTGGCCGATTTGTGCCTTTGCCAAAACCACCAAACGTTGAAAAAGCAGCAGTACGGAGGGTAGATCTAGACGGGTTGAAAGTTTCCGCATAGTCTAGTGGTTTGCCTTACTTGCTGCTCTATCTTCGAGAGCGGACACTGGTGTTCGAATAGGTTTTTTGATGCTCGTACTTGACTTGTAGATGGGTTGACGAAGGTGACATCTGCGAGGACAGTCTTGGAGCAGAGATCCTCCTCTGTATCTCCTGCACGTAGTCTGGGTGGATGACCAAATCCATCTTGTAGAGTCCTTTCCCACTACCTGTACAGCTACCGTTTGTAAATGGGGAAGAATCCTCGACTGCGATTGGCATGTGGCACTGGCGTAGTGTCTTGAGGTTTACTCGAACCATCCTGATATAGAGAAAGTTGATACATCGGTCTTCGTGCACACGAGGGAGTGGGCTCGGCTCAAAGTTGGTCGAGCAAGCTTGTGTGAGGTGGTACGCTGTTTGATATACTGCTGTATGATGCCTGTGTGCCTTTCCTGGGCCTCTGACTTGCTGCACATAATCTCCCAAGCCGCGGGACTCCTTGTTGGTAAAACTGTACATAGTACATGAACTGGAAGAAAGCACTGACTTGGCATAAATATGAAAAGTGTCTCCAGTGTATTGGGGGACACTTTCCATGCTGAAGCGAAGTCAGCCTTCTGCCCTCGGGACTGTACAGCCTCTCCCAATGAGCGGACGCGATTTTTCTGTACCAATAACCTCTAACTAACTGAGCACTGGGTTTACCTATAAGTTGCAGAGTGTCCACCATCGCCGTATAGGTGGATATTATGTATGTTGTCGAACTTCATACTTATTTGTTCTTCGGTAAGGATCGCAAGCAAGGGAAGCACGTGCGGCTATATATTTCCTGAAGCAGTTTATGACAACTGTGAAATCAAGCGTCAGCAATAAGAATATGATGGGGGGCGGGGCGGGGGGGGTTCCGCTCTTTCTGTTGTCGCCGAAAGTGGAAACTTCCCAACCATCCCCTTTCCCAGAACGAGGTGTCTGTAATGTCTCCTACGATGAGCATCACTGTGTGTGCGGTAAGCGATCACAAGCACGTTGTACCATGTCAACTGCACCAATTCAATTTGTTCTTGGTGATAGGAACAAGATCCTTGGACTAAGTAGTAACGATATTAATACTCGTGCATGTGCGTGGTTCTGCTGTTTCAAGAGAGATATGTCGTACGTTTGCGCCAGTTTAAAGCACAAAACGAAGCAGATGGCTTCCGCTCGTAGAACATTGGGAATTCCTGGCCCCATCTTGACTCTCGCAGCGAAGAATGTGGAGGAGGCGGTGCCGTGGTACGCGGGGGTAGTGCGGGGAGCGGAGAGGTTGACGATCTCCTGGCGCAAGGATGAAGAGACGGCCAGTCAACTACGGGCGGTGCGTTAACTGGAATGGCAAAGGACTCATCACGACAACGACGCCACCTGCATGGGGGCCGGGG